TATATATATCTCCACATGTAACATACGTTTAAGTGTTTAACTGTTGTTTTGCCAATCATTGGACATGTTTCGTGCCATGGACTTGGATGACATCTGATGAAATCCAACCAGCCCATCAACCGCAAATCAGCCGTGACAGAACCATTCAAACTGCAGATCACTGTAGGGTGGCCCAAGCTTGGATTTGCTTAACTTAAGGAATGACAAATAAATATTTCCCAAAAGCGGATTTTCCCATATAGGGAAAGCATCACAAGCAAAACCATGCTCCAGCCGTATCTTCGTTTCGGTATTCACTGGGATGAATCGGATGGAAGGGTGCCAGGAGAGTCCAAAGTCCTTCTGAGTGGGTATATACTATATACTTGGAACCCTAAAAATATGGGCATAAAATCGGATATCATATAAAACGATATAGTCTACCCAAGCTCACAAACCGCATGTCTGTGAACATCTCCAGTCACCTATACCGCAAAAAAAAACCACATCCAGTCAGCCATGTTTCTGCGCCCGACCGCGCACCTCCATGCCTCGCCCGACCCGCCTCGTCGGCGATCCACATGAGGTCGCCATCGGTGATGGGATCGATGCCCAAGTACCTCGGGAGCATCCCCCCCCCGAGTCGGTCCGGACCGCGCGGCCGGGACGGGACGGGAGATCGAGGTGTTTGTGTGGGTGGATTGGTTTTGGGATCAAAAGCAAGTACATCTTTAAAATTGGATGGTGTATAGTCTTTGAGTGCAAATTGGGTATAAAATAGCTTGCTTCAGTGCTGAAACATGCAAGCTTCTCACCTCTTTTCAGATTGATTTTTCTGTTCTTCTTGGAGAGGAGAAATCACAGGGACACGTGCGCACACGCATACGAACACGTGCCAAAAAAGGTGCAACATAATCGCAAAGTCAAAAAAAGCTTCAGAAGCATCCAACAGCATCCGACGGACAGACAATTCCTGACATTGTAGTGGTGCTAAAAGTGAGGTAGCATGCGAATACACCACAAACTTAGATAAATCTACATCATATGATATACAAATATTATGTGATCATCAATGAAACATTATGAGGTCCTTGGATGTCCTTGGTATCGTTCTGAAGGTCCAAAAACCCATGTGATCTTCACCGGTCCGAGCTGTTGCCAGCCCCCCCGAAAAACCATCCGGCTCGGAGTACCTGGGCTCTGGGTTGATGAGGTCCAGTTTACAAAAAGAAATCCGAAGAGATGTCCTCAACTGGGTGGTGCAAATGGAAACTCATGTTTTTTCTTATCTGGCCAGCTGGGGAGCACAATAACAACACCAAGTCGTACAAATAAACTATAATCAAAATTAATCAGAAGCCGGTGTGTCTTCTGCCCCTTCAGGTCATTGGGACAGACCGTGGCTCCACCCTGTACCCGCGATCGCTTTATTCTGGACGGCTCGACGCATCGGAGAAACATGGAGCCGACTTGGACACGTTGGCGTTCCGAAAATGCGAGGAATCATGAATCACCATCACCTCCAAACACCGCATTGGCAGGGGGCTGGCTATTGTATCACCCACCACAGGCTCGAACCCGAAAAATCCTCTGTGAGAGACCGTCTCGGCTCCGGGTTCAACGACGGTGGCGGTGGTCGGGTCTCGCATCGATCGCCCACGAATGGCAATGCTATGCTTTACACCCGACGCATGCGTAGCGTCAGCCCGCCCGATGCTTCCATCAGAGGTGACTCCCAACTTCGAGTGCTTCGCCGTGTGAAGGGCGTGACTCCAGACACCGTCGGTAACGGCTCAGCCGGGTCGAGTGGGTGGTGTGCCTGGCGTAGGCGATGAGCTCCGGCTTGGTGGGTTCGAGCCCTCGCTCCCGGTAGCGCTTCGTCCGCGCCACCTGGAACGAGCAGAGTCCGGGGAGCCGGCGAAGGGAGGCGGAGTACACAGGGGGGGAAAGAGAAAAGAGAAAGACTAAAAGCAGAAAGAGCAGAGAGAAGATGGTTATATGATATAACCCTAAGCCCTAAACCCTAATGACGAGTAGCAATGGCCTAGTAGAGAGAAGACTAGTAGCGATGGCCTCCAACCTAGAATGGCCTCCAACCTAATAGCGATACACCCATTTGGAAGAAAGCCTGTGGATGATGGTTCCACATGTTTTGGGGAGAATGTTCCAAACACCAATGAGTTGAATCCGTCCTTTTTGGTTGGAGAAAAGTAGCCAAGATGAGGCAAGATTAGTTGGAATGAGTGAAGGAGCAAGCTTTTCACCTAGACAGACCTATATTCATATCTGACTCTATCTGCTTGGTCTTGGTCTCCCTTTCATGGAGACTTCCAGAAACACCCTCCACACCTTCGCACGCTCGCGATGGCCACCCTCCGACCGTGCGCTGCGACCCGCTCCCGACCTCTCCGACCTCTCGTTTCGTCCGGTCCGTGGCGTCGTCCCGCCGGGGGCTCCGGACGAACTCATTGACGGTGAGTGCACCCTTTCCTGGCACCGTCGGTCCGTGTGACGTGCCGGACGTGGTGAGGGCAGCGGCTGGTGAACAGCTGGGTCGGTGGGGGGTATAGGGGGGTTGGCTAGGGGGCAGGGGGCAGGGGCCCTCCAGGGAACCGGAAAGTCCATGTGTTTGACTTCTTAGTTTTCATGGTTCATAGGAGAAATGCAACATCATTACATCTATTAGAGAAACTTTGTCAAGAAACAACACAAAAGCTGCAGCAATTCAACAAAGGAACGGACCTTGCACTCCACCACACTTCTTCCGCATCCCCGCCTGCCATCCCCGCCCGCCATCCCAGCTCCGCCCTCCCCCCCCCGTGTGGCCTCCACCTCGTCCCTCAGGTCCTGCTCCTTTGGAGCCGCTGCGCGCGCTACTCTCCGCCTGCGGGGCGGTTCTGAAGTGGTTCTGCCGCCGAGCGGGTTGGTTTAGAGATGGGAGAAAGAGGCTCCGGTGGGTGTGGGTCATGTGGGTCCAGAGAAACCCAAAGAACAAATATAGGGATTCACCTGTGGATTCCAAACGTGTATTCCAAAGGTGAGGCCAGCCAACCAATCGGCGTTTCGGTGATTGTTTGGTCTATTTTCCCTTCCAGGGGGGTCGAAGATGGGGTCTTCCTGTTTTGATACACACCCTCCTACTAGCCTGCTATCCAATGGAGACCCTCAAGTGGCGAATGTTGGGAACTAGACTTTGGTCTCTCTGTCATGGGTCCCCAAATTGGCTCCAAATCATGGGACATGTCCATTCCATGTACTGTATGGAATGTAGAATGTAGAGCTCTTATAAAACCTGCAAGCCTTAAAGGTTGGACCGTCCATGTCTGGGTGGGGTGATTCATCCAGAGTTTGTAGATCGGATTAATTCCTTTGAGATCCGTCAAAATGCCAAGTTGGGCGAGCCAGGCAACTCCTTTCACGATCCCCAACAACCAGCCAGCGCCAGCGCCAGGCGCCAGCGCTTCCGCCGCGCCGGAAGAAGCGCCGCGCCTTTGAAGAGGATTTCTCTGGAGACTCTGTTGCCTGCGGCTGCGCTGGCTGCACTTTTCCGCTCGGATTGTCATCGTCGGATTGGCCGAATACCAACACGACATGTGCAGAACTTTCCAGTGAGGCAGTGGATCATCAAGTGAATCTGTGATGTCACAGCCATGCAGGCCCTTCAGTCCCTTCTGTCGATACGACCCTTTCAACCCGACGCCATCGTGTGCATCGCCGGTTCTACGGGACGAGCGCTCGTTCCTACGACCGTCGTGTCCTGGGAGTGAGCTCATAACGGCTTTGGGACAAATGGGTCGTCCCTTTCGGACCCTCTTCATCCATGTTTCACGGTTTCATGGAGTCGGAGATGACAACGCTGTAACCCCTTCATTCATGAACAACTGGAAGTTCCCCCCCCCAAGACCTTGTTCGTCATCCAGGCACAGGACATGCCCGGAGGCCTGGGGTGCTTGTCTTTGTTGGAGCCTGTGGAGCCACATCATTATGACAGGGGAGTTAAAACATGTCAAAACCACCTGTTTGGTCTCTGGATTTCCTGATCATCCTTGCGGAACCATGCCATCCACGTAACCGATTTGGAGCAGCGGCACCATCGATGCCACACGCGAAACGAAACGCGTGCGGCATGACGCGTGCCAGGTCCCTTCTGTCTGGATAATTCATGATGCCAGAGGGAGCGTTCAGTGGAGAAAAAAACAACTTGATCACCTTTCATGATCCGGATTTGCTCACCCAAATTGCTCCGTCCTTCATTTGCAAAACGAGCGGCGTCCGGAAGACGCGGTGACGCGGTGACGCGTTGCGTGCAGCGCGCGCTCCGGGCGAGCCTTGCCTAACCCAGGGACCCAGACACTCCATGGGACTGCCATATATGCCTAGATTGACCCCCCAAACCACCCCAATGTAGACATTTAATGACATTTATGGTATACATGGAGTGTATGGGTAAAAGAATTGGGGGTCCAACCTAAGAGAGATGGCCCTCCCAAACACCCTCAAAACCTCCGTCGCCTTGGTGGCTTTCGGCAGACCTAGCTTTAAGCCAAAGACCTCGCCGCGCCGCTTTCGGACAGCGCAAAGCAAGCCGAGGGGCAGGTCAGGAAGGCCCAACTGGGCTGCGAAAGCCCTTCATGTGTGGTGACAGTGGTTTATGACAGTGGAGCTCCATCTGGAGCTCCATCTCAGGTTCGTTAGGACGAGCCTCCAGCTTGCTACGCCCACATGGAACCTCATGGAAGGTGAGTTCATCACGGTGGGTTCTAGGAAAATAGCCTTCCAGTCTGGTTCATAGGTTCCATGTGGGTCTCTTCCTGGGTGTATCCCAAACACCTTGGAAACAAAGGTATTACATTTGGAGACCTGCAAGCACTGCAGTACAGGAAAACTGTAAAAGAACTTGTGCAGCAAGTCCTTGCATCAGTTCTTTCGCGCATCAAGGATGTCGATTTCAGCTGCTTGGAAAATCTTCAGGGGATCTCACAAATCAACTGGCCTGCAAGTCTCCCAAGAACCCAGAACAGTGGCACATTCGCCCCCCAAACAAATGAACAACTGGCAAAGGAGGTTTCAAGGTGTTCAAACATGTTCTAGAAGGGCAGATTCCCTTTCGGGGCTCCTCCCACTTATACATTCCTGGAATCTTTCTCAGTCAGAGCTACCTAACTTCCAAAGACAAGGCGCCTAAAATCACCTGAACATCAACCAGAGTCTGGTTACCAGACGTTCTGTAGACTGCAGACTTCTATCGTCATCGAACATGCAGAGATAGCGGAGTCAGTCCGACTGTACATGGTCTAGAAGAACGGATGTCTTTCATTGTCTTTCCCCTGCTGGTGCCGTATCCCCGGCTCATGCCGTACCACCATCCATTTGACAGGCAAAAAACATCAAAAAACAACATGGCTTTACTATAAAGGATTTTACACTACAGAGGTCCCCAGGTCGTTCCCATGATTTCAATGGTCTTTGAAGGCTAGGGAAGGGACATCGCTTGGACACCCAGTGAGATATACATGTATCGTTTGGGTCTAATCCCACTATACAAGGTTCTTAGTGGATGAAAATGCTTCAGTTGCAGGGTGACATCTCCAAGACAGCCAAAGATGCTTCGTGGTACTTCTTCGTTGCAGGGCCCCTCCCACTTCGGTTCCAGGAGTGGAGTGGATGTCAACGGCCTTCTCCGGGCGAGAAACGACGAACACGACGTGTCACGGCGTGTCCCGACGTCCCCTGAGAGATGAACCATGGGCTCTCACGCTTGACCTGAGGGAGAGAAGATCTGCTGATTCACGAGCTCGTGAAAAACATCGATGTTTCAAGTCGTCTTCGAACAAAAAAGGGGAAGATGGATGGAAGCAAAAAGAACAAGCCATGAACAAGCCATGTAGCACCTGGAAGTCTAAAGAGATTATGATGTTCGTCCAAGTGCTTCGGTGAACCAGAGACAACGAGCGATCTTGCGAGAAAGGGTCTGCTGATTTTCCAACGGATGTTGAAACAGGATGTGGTTTGGACACACCCTGCTCAGTTTGGCTAGAATCTGCTATAGAAGCAAACCATGATGCTGCGTAGTTTTACGATGTTTTACGGCCCCATCGACCAAACGTGGTGGCAAACTTAAAAGCAGTTGCAACAGCATGCAAAACAACTCAAACACTATGTCAAACACACGGCACTAGCTCCAGTTCAACCCCAAAAAAACCTGGTTCCTGACCACTCGTGGCAGCCGGGAACCTGCGTCCTCGCATCTGGTTTCCCCACCAGTCCTCCCCAGTGGTCCCGCGGTCCTCCGCGCGTCGCGAGCGCACGACTCGATTCGGCCAGGTGGCCATGTGTCACTTCGCGGGGAGCCATCCGTGGTTCGTGTTCGGCGAGTTGCCGCTGGAGCCGAGCCGGCCGATGGGGTCGGAGGGTTGGTGTGGTGGCCGATGGGGTCGAAGATCGTGCGGCCCGAAACACCGAAGATCCGCGGTGGACGTCGCGGAGAAGTGGAGAGAGAACTTGGAGCCGCGTCGTAAGGGTGGAAGGAATTTGTTCAAGAATGGCAGGGGAAACGTCATTGAAGAGTCCCCTGCATAAACACGCATGAGATGGACATGCACGAGATGGAAACACCAAAGCAAGAACATATCTTTGGAGATGGATTCAAGTGCGAGATATTCAAGAAAATACATCGATCAACAGGTTGACAAAACATGATGAATTAAAGTATGCTGATTCATGACTCTCTACCAAACAAGAGGGACCCTCAATGACAATCAACCTCCTACAGGAACATCACCTTCGCCTTCTGACCCTTCCGAAGCTTGCTCTTCACTCCTTTGGAGGGCTTAGTCTCATATTCCACTCTTAGCTCATCCAATGCAAATAGTCCAATCCAAAGGTTGTTATGGTTACAGGTAGACTGTATGGAAGGCGGTTCCAGACATCTGTTGGCCGAAGAAACGTCGTCGAATCCGCTTCGCCACCATCGAATCCGCCACGACGATCCGTCAACTCAACCGTCGAATGCGTTGAAAAGCCTGGCTCCGTAGGACTGGAGAAAAAGATCACAGAAAGAACCAACGATTTCAGACAAAACCAAGAGATGAACTTGATGAACATCATAGGGAGAAAAAAATTGGGAAAACCACGTCAAACACCGTCACATTAATAGAAGAAGCAAACAAAGTAAACAAGAAATGAATGAACTTGATATGACTTGATAAACAACATAACATCAAGAACAAGCAAAGAAAAGAAACAAAACATATCCAAAAGTAATATCTGTTGTCTATTCTTTTCTACTTTCTCTTGCTTTCTTACAAACTCGAGACCTCTCATCCCAAGCGACGGTCTTTCACGAAGCATGTATGATAGACGTCTATCCGGCGTCGATCAGATATAGTAGAACATCGAAATTTATAGAAGAACATATAAGAAAATTGCTGGAGACTCGAAACATCAAAAGAATGGTCCCAAGAATCCTGGGGTGAAAATGAGCAGGACCCCTCCATCTCCAAAAGCCGAAGGGACCTGTTGGAGGGTGCCGCTAGATGTGCTGTTAGTAAGTCTCTTGCCAACATGTTTCCACTCTGCATCGCATGTCAACCTTGGTTTTCTACCAAATCATGAACACTACATCAACATCATCAACACAGCAAAAGTATGCAAAAGTTAAGAATCTCCTTATAAGCGCACATTATATATGCGCAGCTCTCTCTTCCACCCATCCGCAGATCATCCGCACGTCTCCCACATCCGCACGTCTACCGAGTCTACCGCCTTTTCTTCGTCCTTCGTTGGTCCGCCTGCCGCCGATGAAACGCCTTGCCTCATAGTCACGTTCTTGCGCCCTCGGGCCTTCATCGGGTGAAAGTCCTGTTGAAGGAGACCTCAAATCACCTAGCTTCTGTTGCTGGTTGCTTACGTCAACGTTGACTTCCTGCAGTGCAACCCATGTGCATCAATGTATGCAATGTATTTTCTTCAACACTTCCAGTTCTCTCTCTCTCTCTGTTTTTCTAAGGTCACTGGATTGTATGTATAGACTGTATAGATGCATGTAGGTTTCTTGGGCCAACCTACTCAGCCGTGCAAATCGGATTGGATAGGATTGAATGGTCTTTCCGCCCAAGGTTCAGCGACCCAAAATCCTGCAACTACAAACCCATAGGGTCCAGTACCTCCTGAGGATGGTCTTGGAGGTAAGTACGTACTTCCAGAGAATGGTCGAACTGGTGGCAAAGGACATCCAAGAAACAGATGGTCCTGGACCCTTAGGGAAACTTGCGCTAGGATATGATCGTGGTCTGGTTTGTCCTGTGCCGCAAAACACAGTGGGTGGGGATCCAAAAAAAGGTATCCGAAAAGAAGAGCCTCACTCTTTGCCTCCATCAACCTAACCCTGAGAGTCAAAATGCATCTTTAGAATTGTCTTTAACAAAAGGGAACTGCTTCACTAAGAAAAAAACTATATTATATTTATATAGTTTGTAGACGTCTAGGGCACTTTTCAGCCATGGGTTTCTGAGCCCTTTGATCTTTATGGGCTTCCCAGCCCTTTAATCACTATCGGTTTCCCAGCCATGGGCTTCTCAGCCCTTTGATCTTTATGGGTTTCCCACCCCTTTAATATCTAGGGGCCTCCCAGCCATGGGCTTCTCAGCCCTTTGATCTTTATGGGTTTCTCACCCCTTTAATATTTGCAGCCCTTTGATCTTTATGGGCTTCTCACCCCTTTAATATTTGTCGGTTTTCCAGCCATGGGCTTCTCAGCCCTTTGATCTTTATGGGCTTCCCAGCC